AGCTTGCATTTGTTAAAATATATATTCTATTTGCTTTTGTAATACATATGCTATTTTTATGAAAAAAGTTCAAGAATTATTTTGAAAAATTAGAATCCAAAAACCGCACAAGTCCAAACTGAATCAAGCCTCACTTAATTGGATTGGATTTTTTTAGAAACATCCAAACCGATCCAAACCGCAAACATTTATACTTTCGGATCGGATGAATTTTTAGCCAAAAACTGATCCAAACCGACCGCAAACACCTCTAATTGGTGGTGACCCATTGAAGATGATATGAAAATGGTGAGTAGTTTTCTTTACCTTTCTTGAGTATTTGTTTTATGGAACATTGAGGTTATATGGTTCTCATTATGTGAGTTATAACCATTAAGCACACGAGATTTACGGGACTAGATTAATGATTTTCACAATAGGTGATGATGATGAGGGTATTAAGAAAATATTAGTCCAAATAATGTTTAAGTATGAAAAGTATTATGAGAACATTGATAGTATCAATATTTTTATGTTTGTGGTTGTGGTTGTGATCCTCAACCATAGGCACAAGTTGAATTATGTTGATTGGATTGTGCGGGATTCTTACGATGAAACAAAAGTCACTCTTTTGTGCCTCAAAATTAAGATGATTTTGCAATCTTTATTTGACTCATATGCTTCTTCAATACCTCATTCAAAGACAAGTGATATTTCTTCCTCCACTTCTATTTCTTTATCCACTTTCACTTAAAGTGAGACTTAAAGTGGGGTAAGATTGATCTTCAACAACTCATGGCTTCAAAATTTCAAAGGGATACAAGTTGTTTTTTAACTAGTGCCAACAAAAGTGAGTTGGAGAAGTATTTAGAAGATGCTTGTGAGCCTCATGTTTCAAATTTTGATTTCCTACAATGGTGGAAATATCAACAACAAAAAACTAATTCTTCATAAGATGGCTAAAGACATGCTTGCAATACCTATCTCGACTGTAGATTTTGAGATAAGTTTTAGTATCGAGGGTCGTGTCCTTGATTTTTTTGTACTTCATTGACTCCAAAAAATGGTTGAAGCACTTTTTTACACTCAAGATAGGTTACACACCTTTCGATCACATATTATAATAGAGGAAAGCTTAATTGCCTTGGAAGAATTGGAAGAAGGTTAGTTTATTTTTAACTTTTGATTGCTTTTTTGTTGTTTATTCAATATTTAATGTTTAAACATAAATGTATGTTTTAATATTTTTTATTTTACTCCGTGTGATGTAGCCATGAAGGGTCTAACTTTGGAGCAACTGGAGATCATAATTAACGAGACAGTTAATACTTTGGATTATTCCTAAAGTTTGTACCTTGGAACTTTGAAGTACTTAGTGATCTTACAATCTATTTTATTATGTTGTTGAGACTTGATACTTTTGTGTAGTATTTTTATTTTGAACATCTTGTGTTGATTTTATTATGTCATTGAGACTTGATACTCTTGTGTGGTATTTTTATTTCGAACATCTTTTGTTGATTTTATTGTGTTATTGAGACTTGATACTTTTATGTAATATTTTTATTTTGAACATTGAGAAAATAAGAAAAATATTAATTTTAATATTTGAAAGTGAGGTTGTGTTAAAGGTTCATAAGGGACTTGGATTCAGATATTCGATTGAAAAACTATTAATATTTAACTTTTGTTAATTGTTTTTTATTTTTTTTGTAAAAAAATTCAGATTTGGATATTTGGATATTTGATATGAAATTTAGGATATCCAAAAATTTAGATATTCGAGTTTTTCAGATCGGATACATATCACTAATTTAAGTATCCAAAATTTTAGATCGGATAATATTCGATATCCGATAATGTACCCCTAGTACCAAATTAGTGATGACCAGCGAAAAGTCAAGCCAATCAAGGATTGTGTAATATATAAAAGCTCAACGGATGATCGACTGTGGATGTGAGGCCTTCTTGGCTCATGTGGTCGACACCAAAATTTCAGTTCCAACACTCAAGGATATCCGAACAATGTAAGATTTCTCTGATGTGTTCCCAGAATAATTATCTAGTTTACCACCCGACCGTGAAATAGAGTTAGACGTCGAGGTAATTTCATGTTCAACTCTGGTGTCCATTGCTCCTTACCACATTGCACCGACAAAATTTAAGGAACTAAAGGCTCAGATTTAGGAGTTGTTAGAGAAGGGCTTCATCTGCCCGAGCATCTCTCCGTCGGGAGTATTTGTCTTGTTTTTTAAGAATAATGATGGGTTGATGAGGTTGTGCATTGACTATAGATAGTTGAACAAGTTAACCATCAAGAACTGTTACTTACCTCCTATGATAGACGATCTATTCGGCTAGTTGAAGGGAGCATTTATGTCCTCCAAGATCAAATTACAATCAGGCTATTATCAGTTGAAGCTGAAGGATATCTATGTGGAGAAGATAGCTTTCAGATCGAGATAAAATCATTATGAGTTCCTAATAATGGCGTTTGGACTCACAAATGCCCTGACGACGATAATTGACTAGATGAATCGAGTCTTTCACCCCAACCTAGATCAGTTCATTGTTGTGTTTATAGATGACATCCTTGTGTACTCTCAATCAGAGGAAGAGCATGACCAATATCTCCTTATCGTCTTTCAGACACTTCGAGATCGATAATTGTATGCAAAGTTTGGAAGGTGTGAGTTTTGATTGCTAGAGGTTTCATTTATGGGTCATGTTAGTAGACATCATTCGAGTCGGCCCTCAAAAGATTTAGGCCATAGTTTAGTGGGAGCCACTTAAGCATGTGTTAGAGATGCATAGTTTCTTAGGCCTAGTCAGGTACTATCATTGGTTTTTTCAGGACTTTTCAATGATAAATGCCTTGTTGACCAAATTGCTTCAAAAGATAGTTCCTTTTGTGTTTGATGAGAAGCGACAGAAGAGCTTCAAGTAGTTGAAGACCATCCTAACTCAGGCCCAATGTTGACTCAACCGGATTCGAGTAAAGACTTCACAATTTCCAGTGACTGTAACACCCCAAGTTTCGGATGAGTAGTTTTAGGTTTACCCGAGAAGCATGTAGACCTAGTGAATTTCATAATTTAAGTCGTTGTTCTTAATTAGGTTGAAATTGGGCCTAGTTATCCATAAAAATGAGATTTTTAAATAGTAGAAAGATGAGAAATGATTAAATATGTAATTTCACCTTTTTAAAAAGATTAAATCTCTTTATCTCTTTTATCTTATTATTCTCTTCATTTTTTCCCTCTTTCTCATTTTTCTTCTCTCATTTTCCTCTACAAGTTCCATAGCACAAGGTAAGTTCTTGAGCCTCTTTCATACTTTAATTTCATTCATAATCCCACCAACAACATCATATTAATGTTTCAAGTCGTGGGTTCTTTCTAGCTAAAGAAAAAGTGGGAGTTTTCATCCAAATCACAAAGGAAATGAGAGTGGTGAAGTAAGGAGTATAATTTCATGATTTGAACATCAAGGTAGTGTATTTCTAATCCTTTTGGAGTGTTAAGGCTTTCATAAGCATGATGACTTGTTAAGAATTTGGTATTTAAGCATTTTAGGGTTCCATACTTGATTCATGTCATAAATGACGAATTTGATGTAAAACATGTGTTTGTATGACACTGTAAGTCCCTAAATAACTTCCTAAAGCTTTAGCAAATGATTAGGAACCAAACTAAGACATTTCGAATAATTTTTAGGTGTTTCTTGAGCTTAAATAAGATATTTATGTGTTCAAGTATCAATATTGGATTAACAATATCGATATTGGATGATTTGTGATAATTTTTAGGGATTTTTACTTGAGAGCATTGATATTGTTGGGCCATATTTGACCATAGGGTATCGATATTGGGCCATATTTTCAGTAACAAAAGCACTTTTTAGTACCGATACTCATAGGGGTATCGATACTTGAACTTAGGGCATCGATACTGCAAGTAGAGTATCGATACTACCCATTTTGGATGGTTAGATTTGACCTATTTAAGAAGAGTTAAGGATGATTCGTAATGATTGAACTTAGTCCATGAGAAACACAAATGACCAAGAGAGCCTAAGAACACTTGTAGGAGTAGGTTACAATCAAAGTAACCATAGTAGGCATAATATGTTCATGTGTCTTCAATCGAGCACATAACAAGTATCTAAGAAATAAGGATCATTACAGAGGATGTACCGACAAGTAGTATGATGAAATAATCAGATTTCAAAATAGTAGAATCATGTACTGCAAGAATGACAAAAAATTATGGACATACAGGTATCCCTCTAATTCAGCAGTGAATTGAGAGAAAGCATGGCTAGAGTGAACAATATTGCTACCCAGTAATGAACTCGAGTCAGGTATCGGGCTAGCTAGTGTTCATACAACGAACATCAAATATAATAATCTTCATAAAATCATGAAACACTTAGAGACTCCTCTAGAGACAGAGAATGACTAAAACACCCTTAAGTAATGAAAGACCGAATAGAACAGGTATCCCTCTAATTCAGTGAATTGAGAGAAAGCATGGCTAGAGTGAACAATTTGCTACCAGTAATGAACTCGAGTCAGGTATCGGGCTAGCTAGTTCATACAACGAACATCAAATATAATAATCTTCATAAAATCATGAAACACTTAGAGACTCCTCTAGAGACAGAGAATGACTAAAACACCCTTAAGTAATGAAAGACCGAAATAGAATCACTTAATAAACTAATAGAAGTAACATAATAATAAACCTTCACATAATGTTCTAGATGACAGAACGAGCGAGATAGCAGCTAGTGAGGGGTTAACCTCACTTTATCGTGTTGAGCTACACTAGTTTGTAGTTAGATTACCTTAGTTGCCCTGGTGGAGCATTTCTAGTGTGTGAGGCACTTCAGTGGCTAACTAGGGCACGAGGCCTGAACACTCATAAGAAGTGGGTTAGTGATGTCAATGTTGTGTAGCCTTTGGCCCTTAGATATGCATGTATAGTTGTATTAGTCAATACAACAGGTATTCTTAAAGCTTAGCTTAACATCTATGTGAGTTGAGCCAATGCTTCAGTTGAGCAGAAATTGTATCAATACTATCTAACACGGGTTTCCCTCAATAATCTACCTGATTACTCTATGAGGAACATGAGATCATTCAACAACTTAGTGAGAATTTCACCAATGATTTATGACATCGGGTTCCCTCAACTAACTAGTGTCTAATGGCTATGTGAGACCAGATACTAGAAGTGTTGCATTTAGATAATACACAGCAGAGTCAATGTTGCATCTAGATAATGCACAGTAGAGTCAGTGTTGCATTTAGATAATGCATAAGAGTGTTAGTGTCATATTTAGATAATGTGTAGCAGTTATAGTCATTAAGGTTAGAGACACTTTAGAGGTGTGCTCATAAAGACCCTTAGCATAGGATTAAGGAAAGCGTGAGACTTCTACTTCAGTGATAGAACAGTTGAGCCTTAAGTAGGTATCATTCGATTAAGATCATGCATGCACCTACTGCTTAGTACAATGTCTTTAGCATGTTTATGTTTATAAAACTAATAATGCTACTCTATATTAGCAATTATACTGTTAGGCTTTGTAAGTTAAGCGTTTGAATGTTTTTCATTCGCAGGTTAGTAGCTAGAGTCGTTCATGGAGCACCGTCGCTGCATGACTTCTTGCGTCTCCTTCAAAGTATTATACAGTAGCTTTAGTGAGCATATGTAGGACTTTACTCGTGTATTTAGTTTATCAACTCTAAGTTTGTAATATTTTTATTTTAAATTATGTGTCACAAAGCTTCGGTTTATAAAATGTTTTATAATTGTTATTTATGTCATTTCTGATATCATTTAGTATGTTTGAAATGAAAATAAACAAGCTTTAAAATTCAGGGGTTACCTCAGCGGCCCAATGTGACACTTTAGTCCTATTCAGGTTTAGGGTGTTATAGTGACACTTCCTTGAATGGTCTTGGATGCACCTTGATGCAAGAAGACAAGGTTGTAGCAAATGCATCCCGCCAGCTTAAACTCATGAGCATAATTACCCCACCTACGACCTTGAGCTAACAGAAGTGGTGTTTGCCTTGAAGATTTAGTGAAACTACCTATTTGGTGATAAATGTCACATCTTTACTGATCACAAATGTCTCAAGTATTTACTCACTTAGAAAAAGTTGAAATTGACGTAATGTATGTGGGTCGAGTTACTCAAGGACTACGAATATGTAATAGAATATCATCCAGTAAATGTTAATGTTGTGGCAGACGTCTTGAGTGGAAAGTTGGGTGAAATGAGATTGGATTGCAATGAGCATCGTAAAGAATTCTACTGCGTAACTGAGTGTTTGTGGGTACGCAACTGACCCCTAAAATACAATACACCCCCATCACACAACTCAAAACCCTATGCCTCACCTTGGTGAACCTCCTCTATTCGAGCCTTTAACTGATTATATGAACTTTGTAATCTCTTGGTCTCATTTACTAACTCGGGCTCAACTCATAACTCGACTAACAACCCACTTTCCCCAGTCAATCTCAACCAAGTAATAATAAGATGTTAGAGTTTGTAGCAAGATGTTTTGTGTGTCAGCAGGTTAAAGTGGAACACTAAGTTCTTTTAGGATTACTTCAACTCATTCAGATTCCTTAGTGGAAAAGAAACAGGGTGACCATGGATTTTTTGACCGGGTTACCCATGACCAGACAAATACACGATAAAATTTGGGTCATAGTTGATCGTTTAACCAAATCATCCCATTTTCTCCCAGTTATGATTGATTATACCTTAGAGAATTTAGCTTACTTGCATATCTGTGAGATAATGAGGTTGCACAGGGTACTGATTTCTATCATATCCAATTCCTTGAATCACTTTCCGATTTTGGAAAGCTATTCATGAATCTATAGGCACCAAACTAAATTTCAGTGCCGCTTTCACCCTCACATAGAAGGCCAGTTAGAACGTGTCATCTAGATCTTAGAAAACATGCTTAGGTGCACCATCATAGATCTTGAGGGTAGTTGGGAGGACCACCTGTCATTAATGGAGTTTGTGAACAACAATAATTTTTATCCAAGCATCTAGATAGCTCTGTATTAGGCCTTGTATGAATGCAAGTATAGAACTCTACTATGTTAGATAGAGCTCAATGAGGGTAAGATATTGGGTCCAGACTTAATTAGAGAAACTAAGGAACATGTTCAGTTAATTCAGGGCTGGTTGAGAGAAGCCTCATATAGGTAGAGATCTTATGTGTATCTAAAGCGTAAGGATATTGAGTTTGCAGTGGGAGACAAGGTGTTCCTCAAGGTTTCCCTATGGAAAAAAGTGTTTCGTTTTAGGCGTAAAGAAAAGTTGACTACGTACTTTATAAGACCTAGCGAAGTACTAGATAGGGTTGGCCATGTGGCCTACCAGTTAGCCTTACCATCAGAGCTATAGTGCATCCATAATGTGTTCCATGTATCCATCCTCAAAAGATATCATTCTGATCATTCTCATGTTGTACCCCTAGACTAGATCAAGGAGAACCCAAACATGACCTATGGAAAATTCAATCAGAATCCTAACAAGAAATGTAAAGGAACCAAGGAACAAAAAGATCCCTTTAGTAAAGATTTTATGGATGAACCATGACATTGAGGAGGTAACTTGGGAAATCGATGAGGATAACGCTTTGAATCATGGGTTAGTAGTTTCGGGTTAACCCGAGAGTATTTTAGATAGACCCATCAGCTTTAAAAGGAAACTTGGTCCAATAAAGTTTTGGTTTAGGCTTAACTTGGGCCCAACGATAATAAAAATGGTATTTTATGTTATAACCAAAGTTAAAGGGGCCAAAGGGAAATTATACTATCTTTAGTTTGAAAAGTTGATTTCCATTAAACTTGATGATCTCACGTTTAGACACTCTTCTCTTTTTCCTCATCTTCACTTGTCTTCTACATTCCTCCATATTTTCTCTCTTTCTTGTTGTGTGGCACAAATGAGTTAACTTGGTGGCTTTGAAAGCTTAGTTTGGAATTCTAAAGGAAAGATTCATAAGCTCTATCTTCAGAGCTCCAAATTAAGCCCTCAACCTCTTCATTTCACCATGGTAGCCAAATATGGATTTTATGAGGGTTTATGGAACTTAAGTGTTTTAATCCATTTTCAGAGAGTTTAAGCCTTATGAAGTGTTCTTGAACCGTTTTTAACCTTTAAAACAAGCTAGTGACTCAAGTGTTTGATTCTTGTCTAGAGGGAGAAGTTGGAGAAAGCTTCAAGGTCAAGGAGAATGAGAAGTTAGTGTTTGGTAGAACTTTGGGTGTTTCCAGCAGTTTAGGATTTCCAAGGTAACTCACTTCTAACTCAACTCTACCACATGTATGACACTAAAGTGCTTTGATAGGTTGTATGAGTTATGAAGTATAGTCATGGTAGACTCTGCATTTAGTGTTTTTCAGCGGTTTATGTACTTATTATGACCCCTATTATCATACATAATACTTTAATAACATTTGGGGACCTCAGTATGACTCATAAGAGTTTTGAAAGAGGCATTTTCGTGCACAAAATAGGGTATTTTTAGCATGAGTATCGATATTTGAATAATAATACTGATATTGTTCTTCAGATACTAAAAACAAAGGGATTTTAGGCTAGACGTATCGATACCATACAATGGGTATCGATATTATAGGTAAGGTACCGATACTCATAGAGTGGTATCGATACCAAATTCATTTAGCATATTCCAGTAGCCATATTTAGTATTGGTACTTATGGGAGTATCGATATCGAGGGTAGAGTATCAATACTTCTCAATAGGGCTATCGATACTTAGATATTTTTAAAAACATTAAAGTTAAATTTGGTATCGATACTCAATAGACCAAGAGTATCGATACTCATACTAGAGTAATGGTACTAGCCCTTTGCTATTATCCTCAATAAGTTAGTAATATTGATACCTAGAGTTTAATATCGATGCCCAGGGGTCAGTACCGATATTGAAGAGCTTAGTATCGATACCTACGAATAGTTTTGGGTAAAAAAACACAGGGTTTTAAGGGGTAGTTTTAAGAGACCCAATAATACCAAAATACCATGAAATAAAACTACAAGTGAGAACATTAATAAAATCAAAACAACTAGAAACAATAATAACTAGGTTGACATAAAACTAGCATTGTTTGATGCTTGGGAAACAGTCAGGACACCTGAGTCACTTTAGCAGATGATGATTGTTCAGTCCAGATATCCTAATCAGTACCAAGGCACTTCAGTTGCCAGCTGGGAACAGATGCCCCAAGGCCCGACTGAGTAAGTTGGTATGGTGTATGTTTCCAATGCAGTTCTGGATCTCACCTAAGATACCCAAGGGCATTTTAGAAATGTGAGGGTGTGAGCTCCAAGATGTAGAACCCTCATCCACACCATGATGTCTACCTCAACATGTCATATAAGCATTTCCTTATATTTGCATCTACTCCATTAGCATACTCTAATAACTTTGTGATCAATTTCAGAAAATTAAAAAGTTTAAGGACTTAATTGGAGAATCTTAGTGTTGGATTTAATAGTAAATTTTGGAAATAAAAAGGGCATAATGGTCATTTGATAAGAATATAATAAAAATTCATTATTGGTGTTATAAATATCTACGTGGAGAGTAAGGAGGAAAAGAGAAAAGACAAATATTGAGAGTTTAGGTTCATTTATCTTCTTCTTCTTCTCTTCCCGTGACTCCATGAATAAGGTAAGTTGGTCTCAATTCCTTTCATTTAAAAATTGGTTTTGATTCTTGGAGTGTTAAGAAAGCTTAAGGAAAGCTTAAAGTGGTTTAAAACTAAAAAAATGGATAAGTTGTGAGATATTGAATATAAGAAGTTTTTAAGTGACTTGTTGAGAAAAAGTTAGTAAGGGAAGTTTGAGGTTAAATTTGACTTTTCATCAATTAGAATAAGAAATTTAAAGTGTTAGAAATTAATTTGGAACATGTTGATAAATTGGTATGATTATTGAATTCAAGTGTACTAGTTAGATATTG